TAAATGTTGGCATTATAAGCCGCAGGCTGCAGTGTCGCCATCCTAAAATGGATTAGGGTGATAGCGTGGGGTATCTGGATGGTGGAAGAACAAAAAAACATATATCTTTAATCTGTCAAAAATTTAAATCTGACAGACTGCTGTAAATAAGTCTGGCCTGTAGCATGAGGATCTTTAATTATTTTTTTTGTTTTTATTACGGGCCTGCAACAGTGCTTTACTTATAATATCTTTAGATTTGAGGTGGGTTAATAATCAGGCGTAGAATAATTATCGGAAAAAGGGGAAATTAGCCTTTTTTAAATACTAAAATTGTTTCCTATTACTAACTCTGAACAATATTATATTAACTAATAAAGAATATTACGCGTTACTTTATGAGCACACACAAAACTATTGTATTTTTGCCCACCATGTACCAATTGGAATCAACATGTGATACATTTTTGGAATCAGCTCAGCTAGAGTAATCCGAAAATTGAGACAAAATGGGGGTGTTCCATTTAAAAAAAATGACGGTAAGGTAGATGAAAAGGTGAAGTTCAGCTTGTGCTGATTTACAACTTAACCTGTAAATAACATTAAAATATAATAATATATTATAATAGAGAAAAAAAAGAATTAAAAATAAATAAATAATAACCAAAATTTCTTAATAAGCCTATATTTTAGGTTGGTAGAATCTAATCTACGTTATGGTATACTAGTATGGGGAGGCCTATATGAAACAACCCTTAGACCACTAAATGTCATACAAAATAAAATACTGAAAATTATCTTCAACAAACAGCGATTATATCCTACTATTCTACTATATAATGAAACAATATCTAATGTTAGAAGTTTATACATGAACACAATATGCTGTTACATACAAAAACATAAGGTACTAAAAAAACCTCTGGGTTATCAACACAAAACCAGGGGTGCGATTTTCGAACTCGTGCGATGCGCTGTCGCATGCTCTTTCGCACGAAATTCGAAGTACACGTATTTTCGAACCATCGTGCACGACACAATTTTGATCGTATACGATGTGACATCGAGTGGTCTGAGGTAACCGATCACGAAGCGTGTAACCGATCATCACCGTACGGACGGTACCGATTTTGTGTCAAGTGTCACTAGTGTGTATTTTTTTGTCGTCAGAGAAAAGTTTTTGTGTGTATTATAAATACTTATTAAAGCATGAATTTTAGTGACCAAATTAATTTAAATGGATTAGGGGCATTGGAAGACGCAGAAGTATTGTTCAATAGGCGAGGAAGACGTTTTAGGCCTTGGGTTGATCCATTTGAGGATATGGGGGATGAGGAATTTAGAAAAACTTATCGCTTCACTAAAGATCTTACTAAAAATTTGGTTGATATCTTGACGCCACACATGGTAGTCCCAACTAGAACATCTGCACTAAGTGTTGAGAGAAAGGTATGATTTTGTTAGGATTTTAAAGTATTTATCTCTGGGTCTGAAACTATTCCTTTAAATGGCTAAATAGAAAGGAGTGGTTTTTACCGAGATATTTTTTTAAAGGTTGTATTTATTTACATTTTTTGAAACATCCTACCATCCCTATTTAACCTATGGTCTTTATTAATCTTTTTAGGTTTTAGTTGCCCTCCGATTTTTTGCATCTGGTAGTTACCAGAGAGATGTGGGTGGTTTTATGAACCACACAATTAGTCAGTCGGCAGTTAGCAATGCTGTTGACGAAGTGGCAAGCGCACTCAATCAGCCTGAAATATTTAACGAATCTATTCATATGCCACAAAATTTGCAAGAATGTTTTACAGCACGCAATAGGTATTTGCTTTTCTATTGGTAGTATACATATACCTTTACATATTTATTATTTTAGATATTATGAGAAGTTCCGATTTCCAGGGGTACTGGGTGTTATAGACTATACCCATGTGGCTATCTATCCACCAAGAAATAATCCGGCTTATCCTGAAGTTGCATATGTCAACCGCAAAGGATACCATTCTGTTAATGTTCAGCTGGTAAGATTATATAACTTTTTTGACATATATTATTTATACAGAGTAGAACGTAGAACTCAAAGACCTTGCACAAAATTGCATTACTGCAATTTTATGTACGGTCTTTGAGTTCTACGTTCTACTCTGTATAAGTCAGTGAGCACATTTGAGTTTTGGATAACAGTTTTCTTTTATATATTATTTACTTACATTCCATGATTTTTAGATATGTGACTCTGACATGAAAATAATTAATATTAGTGCGAGATATCCAGGCAGCACCCATGACTGCTTCATATGGAACAATAGTGCAGCATATGGGTATATGCGAAATTTACATAACCATGGGCACAGATCATACTATCTGATTGGTAAGTGTATTTATAGTATCATACCTATAAACCAAACAATATTTTCAATTATAAAATATATTATATAGTACCTACCTATCTTTTTAAGGTGATTCAGGTTATGGACTGCGGCCTTGGCTACAAACGCCTATACCCAATGCTGCACCTGACTCCCCAGAAGAAAGATATAACAGAAGATTTCGTACGACACGATCTCTAAAATCGCCATGCATTACCGTCTCGATGATGGTGGGTGAGGTTTTCCGGGTGTTCCTCACCTGTAAGTCAAATGGCACCATCAATCATCTTTAAGTCGCCCCGGAGCGCCACGGCAAATAATTGCCGTCCCTTTCCCCGCACAAGCTCAGCTTTTGGGGTTAAAATTCACTCGTAAGGGGGTGAATTAGGGAGAGTTTTACTATTATTATTGTAAGTTTATTGTACTCTTTACATGCAACATACGAAAAACATCTTTTAAATAGAGCCGTGTTATGATTTGGTACCACCAAGGTGATTCGATTCCGCGTAGGAAATTCATTAATATTGGAAAATGTCTTTAATTTGTTAACTAAATAATCAGGTTTCTGTATGAGTAAAACTTTGTGAACTTGGGTTAATAAATGCAAAAGGCGATAGTTATTGAAAGTCAACCAACCTTATTCTTTCATTTTATTCGAGATATGATCAAATTTTCGAATTCCATAGGCAAAACGTAGACAGCTATTCTGAATTTTTTGTAAACGAGCGGAGTCGGATTGGAGTAGTCAGAATCACAATAACTGAGTTTGGAAAAAATGAGAGATTGACAAAGTTTAAGTTTGAGTTATGTAGAAAGCAGGTCTCGGTTAGGGTACAACTGTCTCAAGACGTTGAACGAACTTTGAGATATGGTGGAGGTATGTGTTCTAAAACGAAGATCAGATTCTAACCAGAGACCTAGGTTTTTTCCTTCATTCGTGAATTGAAGAAGAGTATCGCCTAATTTAATTTGTAATGCGTTTATTGTTAATTGTCTTAATTTTTTGGGGCCAAATAACATGGATGATTTTTTAGAATTTATTTTAAGGTTGTGAGCTGTAGAAATATCAAGTAATGCATTTAAATCGTCCTTAATAAGATTTTGGGCAGTAAGTAAGCACTTATTATTAAACGAGTGATATAACTGGGTATCATCTGCATAATGATGAATCACACAATTTTTAACAAAACTATGAAAATCTGCTATATATAGTGAAAACAGCAATGGTCCCAGAATGGATCCTTGCAGAACACCTTGACTAACGGGTAGTCTGGTGGATACATCAGCTTCCAAAATAACTTTATGAGTACGATTGCTAAGAAAATTTGATATTAGACAAACGGATTTATGAGAAAAACCGAAAATTTGCAAAGTGTTGGATGATCTAAAGTATCAAATGCTTTGCTATAATCAAGGAGAACCAAACATGTGACTTTTCCCCGATCTGTCGCTTTAAAAAGGTAATCCGTGATAGATAAGAGGGCAGTGGTCGTACTATGGTGCATTCTAAAGCCAGATTGAGCTGGAGAGTTATTATATTTTGGTCGTATACATATTTGCTAATTTGATCTTTAAATATAAATTCAAACGATTTAGAAAGGGTTGGTAGAATACTAATAGGACGCAAGTCAGATAAGCTAGTAGGTTGATTACATTTAGCAAGCGGAATAATAAAAGCCTATTTCCACGAAAGTGAATAATGAGACGAAGAAATTATTTTATTAAAAATAAATGTTAAATGATTGATTAAATAATTTTCTACTAACTGTATCATGCGCAGTGATATGTTACCTAAACCAACGGCATGACTTTTTATACGATTTAGAGATTTTCGAACTGAATCAGAAGAGACAGATTTAAATTCAAATTTATTTTCATATATATTTTCATAGTACCGATCAAGTAAGGCTAATTGGTTATGTGACTTCAGAGTAGTAGGAGATGAATTAAAATGTTTGTTAATTTCAGTAACATTACTTAAGTTAGGTGGTATAATAGGACTGGCTTTTTTTCTAAGAATTTCTAAGGATCTTAGAGTGTTTGTTAGATGTTAATAACCTTTTTCTTTTGTAATTTGTTTCATTTGTTTGTTGTAAAAAGCAGTTCATCAGTAAAAAACTGCAGTGTAATTGTGTTTAAACTTTTCTTTAAACATCTACCTGTGATCATTGAGAACAAGGCGTGGAATATAATTGAAAGATCAAACGAACTTACCTGAAGTGAAGTTCGATCTCAATTATATGAAACGCCTTGTTCGAGATGATCGAACCCATCCCAACCCTAAAATAAAATATGTGGCAAGTTTATTTCATTAGCATTATGTAGATGTACATCCCAGGATTATCTCCAAGTTTAAATCACAATACAGCTTTAAAAAGAATGACATTACAGGCTAGAGTTGAGAGCGGCGTAGGAGGAGTAGAGAGGGCAGAGTTGGTACAGTTATAAAAGGCGTTTTTTAGAGTGTTAACTCTTAAAAATACGTGGTAGCTGAGCGGGGAAAGGGGGGTACTACCTATGATCATCTCGAATAAGGCGTTTCATATAATTGAGATCGAACTTCACTTCATGTAAGTTCGTTTGATCTTTCAATTATTGTTTTTTCTTGAACATATTTTTATAGTGCTTTTATCATTCATAATGTCCGCAATGGCTGATAAAACTTGGACTGTGGTTCAATTTGAAGACAATTCAGTTGAAGCTGTCCCAACAAATTGGATACAAGGTGATAATTGTCACTGGCCATCAATGGCTCACCAAAAATTGATATCATCTATCCGAAAAAGCGAGCCCTTAAACACATGCTGGTTAACACACAAAGTACAGGTCTTCCGAAATGCCACATATGGTAAGTACTGAGCACGTTTAAACTTTTTTTGGAATATTTTATTTTCACTGAAATACATATCAAAACAGTACATTTTAGCATTGACTTCATGAATTTAAGAAAATTTTCAGAACTTTATTGAAGAACTTTGATTTTGTATTAATTTTATGTTTAGCATCATGAAAGTTCAAAAAAAAATAAAATTTTACTTTATTCATCATAAATTTAATTATAGGAACGATGAGATTTTTTAATAATGCAACACTTTATCAGGAAACACACTCTACACCTACAATTGTAATTTCAGATGACTATATGAAAGCAAGACAAAAAGCACGAACTGCCGAGGAAACAAGCGACCTAGCTTCAGAATTTGAGTCTGATACCATTAAAAGAAAAAGAATACAAAAAGTTCTGTCTTCAGTAAAAAGTCGATAGTAGAAAGTATTCTGCCTTCTACTCCAAAAAGAAGAATAGGTATAGTATTTTAGAACTATAAATACCTTGATATATGGTGTGATAATTTAAAAACTTACATATCTCACACATGAAAGATGATGTCATAAAAGAGAAATCACCCCTATCAACCTCCTAGGTCCCACCTGTTGAATAATCCGCTAAAATCTTATTTCGGAACGCCCTTTAAATTGTATTAGTTTTAAGTTTTATTATTATATTGGTAGTACTGTATGTCAGTTGTTGTTGAAGTTTGATGTCACGTTTTATGTATGCACATTATTGTTTGTAATAAAAATATAATCCACAATCACCTAATAAAATACAGGAGTAATAATAAGTGTTTTATTAAAAGAATAGAAAGTATACAAGGAAAGCTAGAAGCCACAAAAGTTAAACATTGAAAGGTTATGAGCCCAGTGATTAGAGTTTAAAGAAAACTTAGGTTAAGAGTGCCACAAGAACGTGTACTAAAAAAATTAAAAATGAGAAAATGAGTAATATAGAACCGTTAAATGGAGAAAATTATTCTAATTGGAAATTTAGAGTTGAAATGATCTTAGCAGAAAACGGTGTAAGTGAAAATATAACTTTAGAAAGAAATGTGGCGAGCCTAGCTGTGGAAGAAAGAACACGAGTGGTCAAAAACGACAACAAAGCGAAATCATTGATAGTTCAGTATGTAACAGACTCCCAACTGGAACTCTTAAGAGGAAAAGAGACTGCATACCAAATGTAGAAAGTTTTAGAAGATAAGTTTGAAAAGAAAGGTTTACCCAGCCAACTGTTTTTAAGGAGAAGATTATTATCATTAAAATGGAAAATAGATGAACGCACATAAGTGATTTTGAAGATATCATAAGAAAACTAGAAGCCGCAGGAGACAGGAGTGATGATCGATCAAAAATATGTAACATGTTGATGTCGTTGCCTAAATCGCATGAAACATTGATAACTGTAATAGAGAATTTACCTGAAGAGCTACAAAATTTTGAATTTGTAAAGAATAAACTCTTAGATGAATATGAAAAAAGAAAAATTCAAGTCAGAAACAAAGAAAGTATTCAAACGTCATAGAGGTGTTTTTCGAGGTTATAAGGCTATCAAGGTACAAGAAAGGAAATGGTTTTAGAAACAGCTACCATAACACAAATTTGGTGCATAATGAACCAGAAAATCAAGAAAACGGTAATTCAAGACATGAAGAAAATGATACTACAAGAGAAGAAGAAAGTATTTGCTACCTTGGTGAAAATAATGTAGATGATCATCAAAGTACAAGCAAGAACATTCTGTTGTTTTATGTAGATTCAGGGTGCACAGACTTCATGATTAATGATAAAGATGTTTTTTCTAATATGGTATTGTTAAATAGGCCTATAAAAATTGCAGTGCCAAAAATTAACAATTTTCTGTTTGCAGTAGGTGTAGGAAATATTAATGTGCTTAGTAACGTAAGGTAACAGAACCGGTAGATGACACTGATCCAGTAGTTGACACTTACAACTTAAACCCCACAGAATAAGAAAAGTGTATTAGTATTATATTTAGAATTACTAGTGCCATCTATCAACCAATATGAAAAACTACAATGCCCTGTACCTACATACATTCAATATGGCGTCATTTGTCATAGAGTCTGTTAGTGGCTGTGTTTGAAAATTGTATTTTTTTAAGAAAATTGTTAAGAAAGCTAAAATTAAAAGAAAAGAATTTGAGCATTAAATTGTTTATATATTGGAACAATAGAATCGTGATATAATAAGGTAAGATATGAGAAGTATTTTAAAGTAATTGTAGGGCCTATATTTTGTTATTTAGAATTTCTTTTACGTGGTGTCATCTACTTGTACTCAGATTTGATTATGTACCAGTGTTTGACACTAGTGTCAACTACTGGTGAATTGTCTGTTAATTTTATTTGAACCGGATATGGTTTTATAGTCCTAAGCAAGGCGACCTGTTTTCCAAAAATACATTTTTAAATTGATATTTCAGCCGTACCAGTAAATGACAGTCTGTCAACTAGTGGGCCATCAAACTGTCAACTACTGGTGTTACAGGATAATCATGCCACCAATCAAAGGAAAAATGCTCCAGTACTTAGAACATCAAATGGAATCCGCGCTAGATACAGCTTCAAGAGGCGAACCAATTGCTTAAGCGGCTAAAAATAATGGAGTGCCCAGAAGCACTCTCATTAGCAGATTGACAGGAAATAAAACACGATTTAGAAAGATGGGACCAGACTCAGTATTAACTACGAATTAAGATAAAAACGTTGTCCTGTGGATATTTACCATGGTCAAGGCAGAGTTCCCTGTTGGAAGAGAGGCTTTACTTGCGGGTATACAACACCTCATAAGAGAACTTAAACGAGACAACCCCTTCAAAAATTATCGACCCGGGCGAAAATGGTAATAGTTTCCTGAAGCGTAATCCAGAAGTTTCCACTCGGACCGCACAAAACTTAATAATAAGCCAAGCATCCGTAACCAAGGAAAGTTTAGAGCACTGGTTTGAGGAAGTTAAAGCATATTTAGAACATAACTTTGATGAAATGCTGAATGATCCTAAGCGTGTATTTAATGCAGTTGAAAGCGCCTTTTTTTCTCAACCCGAAAGGTTGCAAGGTATTAGCCAAGAAAGGCGATAAGACTATTTATAACTGTCCTAATCACTGGAAACGCAGCTGGAGACTTGGCACCATTAATGGTATTATTTCGTTATGAAAAAATTCCAAGGAAAATAATCAACAGTATTCTTGAAAGCTGGGGCGTAGGAAAAAGTGAGACTGGCGAAACTTTTTTCGAGTTTATCACCAATGTTTTCTATCCATGGATGCTGCAATTCAACATTACACTACCAATATTTCTCTTCATTGATGGACATGCTTCGCACTTAACATTACACTTTAGTAAGTTCTGCGAAACTGCACAAATTATTCTAATAGCACTGTATCCGAGTGCCACTCGCCTCATCCAGCCTATGGACGTATCAATGTTTCGAACCCTCAAGGATTGTTGGAAAAATAAAATTTACCAGTGGAGGTTAGCTAATTTCGATACACCAGTTCTCAAAAACGTCAACTTTTGTCCGTTGCTATCTGAACTTGTAAAAGAAAGAGCAAACCCGTCTGTGCTTCAAAACGGATTTCGTAAGTCAGGTCTTGTTCCTTGGAATCCAAATGCCATAAAATTAATGAAAACTAACGCAAATAATCGAGCCAATAATGATGACTTACCTTAGAATTATAGGGAATCGAGAATAAAATATTTAGAGACTGGAATAAAGTTTCTAAAAGACAACATCGACAAAGAGAAAATTTGAGCTTTCAAAACTAGTAACGAATGGAAAGGAAATATGGAAGATCATTCCCTATTTCATTTTTTTAAAGTCAAAACAGCTGAACTTAAAAGTCTTAAATTACAGGGCCAGACAGAAAAAGCTGAATACCATAAAAAATCATCAGAAAAAGCAAATGAAAACCAGAACGATGAGCAAAATGATACAAGAGAAGATGAAGATGAACAAAATAATATAAGAGAAGATGAGCCGCAAAGGCATTTAAATTTCTTGATGGAAAAACAGCAAGCTACACCGGAAAAATCTAATATAAAATCATCATCCTCTTCCATTCAATTAAATCAACCATCTACCTCAGAAGCTTTGGTACTATCACCATTCAAGCGACATTTGTTCTGGCCGGGTCCTAAACAAACAAAACAGTCAAAACGAGCTAAGACAGAAAAAATACCTTCAGTTATTACAGCAAAAAAGGGCAAGAGTATCATGAAAGGAAACAGATAAATAAGTAGTTACAAGAAGAAACCAAGAAAAACAGAGTAGAGGAAAGAAAACGAAAAAAAAAAAGAGCAGGAAATATTAAAAAGACAAAAGCAATAAAATAAGCAAAAAAAAAAAAAGAAAACAAAGAAAAGACGAACATTGAGTTGTAGTTCGGAAAGCGGTGAAGAATGGCAGGACTCTAGCGATAGTTGTGACGATGTCAGTTTCTCGTGGGAGGCCAAGGAGGCTAACAGAACCTTTACTCAGGATGAACAAAGTGATTTTGATAATAAACAGAATTTAGAATTGAACCTTGAAGGTGAAAAAGAACATAATACAACTTCCCTGTACAAAGAAGGGAATTACATACTAGTGTCATTTCCAGTCAAGAAAAAAGAACACAGATATATATGCGTTATACAGGAGGTATTAAACAATAACGAAATTGAGGTGGTTGCCTTAGTCGCCTGCAATGAAGCAAAAACACAATTTAGGCTAAATGAAAATGATGTCAGTGTTATTAAAAAATCTCAAGTTATAGAAAAATTAGAGTTTCCCCGTATGAGTTGTGCAGGAGACCGGCTAAGATACGAGTTTAACAAAGAAGTTCACGCTGATGGGTAGATGTATAATACCTGTCAACTGCAGGGTATACCAAGTGTCAATTACTAGATTAAAAGAAAAAATAGTCATTTACTGGTACCTCTGCAGCTTGTTCCTAATTTTTTTGCAATGTATCTTGCATTGCATTTTTGTTTGTTTTCTTATTAGTTTACCATTATATAGGTGTTAATAATTCTGTTAAAGTACACAATTTCAACCTAAGTTCAAAATAAATGTTTTTATTGCAATATTGATTTTGTTTTTCCTAAAGCCTGCAACTACTGGTTCCGTTACCTTAAATGGAAAGATAATTAATTGTAAATTAGAAAATGTTTTTTACATTCCAGAATTGAGAAAGAATTTATTGTCAGTAAAAGGCTAGAATCAAAAGGAATTAAAGTAGTTTTTGAAAATGGTAAAGTAAATCTAATTGATAAAAAACAGGAGTAGTAGGAATAGGATATAGGGAAAATTTGTATGAAATATGTTTTGAGGTTAACAAGAAAGAATGTCTAAATGTTTGCAATATAGATAATGATTTTATGAAATGGCACAGAAGGTATGCCCATTTAAATTTTTCAGCTTTAGAAAAATTAGTAAAATGAAAGTATGTTACTGGTATAAATAAAGATATAAAAATACAAAAGGTTTGTGAACCATGTATTGCGGGGAAAATGTGTAGATTTCACAACTCGAACTAAAAGTACTCGAATATTGGAAATAATACATACTGATGTTTGAATCGGTCATTTGAGAAACAGCACATGTCAGTTGTAAATAATTTTTTAAAAAATAAAAAAGTGAAAATCTCAAAACATGATTAAAAAATAGTTTTGTATACTTAACGTTTAAAACTTGCTCTATTTTGGGTATAATTTAAAATTATAATTTACCTTTAAATATTGTATTTTTGTAATAAAAACAAAACGGCCAAAAATGTGTCATGTGTCGTTTCTCAATTGACCGATTCGTTTGTGGTCCTATAGTACCTACATTATTAGAAGGTCAATGGTATTTTCTGACATTTATCGACGATTATTCAAATTTTACTAGTTTATTTAATTAAAGAAAAAAGTGGAGTTTTACAAAAAATTAGAGACTACAAATATGGTACAAGCAAAGTTCAGTAACAAAATATCAAAGTTAAAATGCGACAATGGTGGGGAATACATTTCCAATAATTTTAAAGATTTTTGTAGGGGAAAAGGTATTACTTTAGATTACACGGTACCGTATACTCTTCAACAGAATGGCAAGGCTGAGAGGACGAATAGGACATTAGTAGAGAGAGGTAGGGCTATGTTAAATGAATCGGAAGTACCCAAAGAAATGTGGGGAGAAGCAATTTTGGCTGCTACATATGCTTTAAATAGAAGCCCAACAGAAACTTTACAACGAGATATGACTCCTGCAGAATTATGGTATGGTAAAAAGCCAGATGTAAGTAACCTACGAATATTTGGAACTTTAGCTTATAGTCATATACCTAAGGAAAAAAGGAATAAATTTGATAGGAAGGTAAGTAAGTTTATAATTGCTGGTTACGCTAACAGTGGATACAGACTATAGAATATTGAAAAGAAAAGAATAGAAATAGCTAGGGACGTAAAAATAGATGAGAGTAAATTTTGGTATAGAAAGGAATTAGTAAATGTAAAGATTCAAGATGATTTAAATGATAGGGAAGAAATAGATAAAAATAATGAACTAAATAAGGACGAAATTGAGATAGATAATAATGAAAATAATAGAAAAAATTGCAGATAAATTAAATTACCAAATTGGCAAAAAGATTATGAATAATATATGGCATTTGAGGCTACACCGAGAAAAATATCTAATAACCGTTAGTCTGGATACCATACGTGACAGCAAAAAGATCAACTTGTCATTATTAGTTTGATCTTGCTGAAATGATCGAATAACCGTTAGTCAATGGTCGAATAACCCTTAATCATTCTGCAATTGCGCAGTTTATTCTTTTACCGTATAGCCCTTATACAGTAACATACTTACAGTTATTGACAGAAACATACACATCGAATAACCACAAGTAAACGATTAAATAGCACCAAGCTAGTGATGAAATATCCAAATAAATAGTATAATCATAAGTAGACGATCTAATAACGTCAATTTTACAATAGATCAATCGCAAATAATTCGTCAAACAACAACTTGCTGGTTATATAATATGCGTAATAAAATAGAGAAATAGCACAGGTATATGCACTCATAAACAGCTAGATAATTGAATAATCACAGACAAGTGCTCAAATAACCTTAGGTAGAAAATAAAGTAGCAACGAATAGGCTATCAAATAATACTTTCCATATATGGAGAGGCGGAAGTGTGGTGGAATGGGTTATATCAAATAAAACAAAACTAAGAAAAAAAATTTTATTTTAAAGAACAAAAACAAAACAATTCGGAATTCATGATTCAAATAAGCAACAAATTTGGTTAATTATAAAAAACCAGTTGATCCAGATAAGTGTTCTTTTATTTTAACGAAAAACCGTTTATTAACCTTATACATTTTTTAGGCTTATTTATTTTCAACATCCGTAAATTTCTATATTTTATTTTAACCTTAAAATTTCAGAATTTACAGTTGTCGAACCATTATTCAACTAAAAGAATTTTCATGAATAAGTAGGTACGATAACTGGCTAACTACAATAGATTATTTAAAATAAAATTAAAAAAATGGCACATGAATCAACTTTTATTTTTAATCTGAACATCTTTGCCTATATGTTGAAAAGTAACAAAACGTTTTATTATTAAAAATTTGTATCAAGTAAAACAAAACATAACTGTTATTGCAAATCACGAACTACAAATGAAAAATTAAAGTGCTTGTGCATTTAAGCCGCTCTAACAAATATATAAAATATTCCCAAATTGTTTCATATAAAATGGAATTCGATTTAATAACTAATAATTTTTCTTACCTTCAAAAGCCTTCAAATATTCACCAAATCCCCATTTACTCAGGATAGAGTTAATATCCATATCAGGTGAAGTGGGGTAAATGTGATAATGGGGCAATTGTGTTAATCTCCCCCCAAAATTTAAAAAGTCTCAATCAATCACGCCACTCGTCTTAACCGATATGCATCACAACTGTTTACGCTCCCACCACTTCGACTTGTTCGCACGGTTGATCTATTGCCACTTGTTGCAGAGCTTTCATGACGGACGTTTTATATTACTGTGACGAGTAGTCTATTTTTTGAGTTTATTTGTATACATTTTTTAACTTAAGTGGTAAGTACGGTTTAATTACTATAAATGAGGTCATTAACTATAGTTTACAATATAGTGTGTTTATTTTATCAGAATTTTAAGATTTTCCTGACATTTGAAACTATATCACATTTGCCCCAGCAATTATCATCAGGGGGCAATTGTGTCATACAGTGGCGGGGAATTTGTGTTATATTGTGTCACATTTGCCCCTTTTTGTTTCAGTATTGCTATGGTGCGCAACTACAAGAAAAAGACCTCGGATAATAAAAAATACACCACGGCAGATCTAGAACTGGCTATTAATGAAGCCAAAAGAACAACAGTTTACAGAGCTTCTAAAATATATGGAATTCCTTACGTGACATTGCATTCCCGAATAAAAGGTATACGTGGAGCAATAAAACAAGAGAAAGGCCGACCAATTACAATTCCAATCGAACATGAAAGAAGGCTAGCAAATGGTTTAAAAATAGCAGAAAAATGGGGTTATGGATTCTCCAGAAAAGAAGTGATCGAATTGGTCGCTCGGTTCATCAAAGATAACAATATAAAAAATAATTTTAAAAATGGCATTCCAGATGAAGACTGGTTCTTAAAGTTCAAAAAGCGACACAATATAAGTCTTAAAACTCCTCAAAATGTGGAATATGCCAGGAAAAAGGCAATGGATCCGTTCATAATCTACAAATATTTGGATTTGTTAAAACAAACCCTGGATGAACTTGAACTACATGATAAACCGGAAAGAATTTGGAATCTGGATGAAAGCAGTCTTAGTATTGACCCAAGAAAAGTGAAGGTTGTAGGTGCCATTAATAAAGCTTCGTCTCGAACAATCGGCTCTCCAGGTAAAGAAAATACCACCATTTTGCTAATGTGCAATGCAGCAGGGGACAAAGCGCCACCACTAATTATATACAAAGGAAAGAATGTATGGGACCAATGGCTTGCCCCTCCAGAACACGAATTTAAAGGAACTGTGTATGCAGCTAGTAAGAAAGGTTGGATGGAAGGGGATATATTTAAAAATTACTTTCTGAAAACTGTAATTCCTACCGTTGGTATAGAGAGACCTGTACTTATCATATATGATGGTCACTCAACCCACGTCACCGTTGAAACTATAGAGGCTGCCGACAGGGAACAAATGACAATTTTAAAG